GTCAGTGCCGGTGCTTATACGTGGATTAAAGGATTGACCTCCCCCGAATCTCTAGGAACAGGAGGACGCAGGATAAAGTTCCTGTTCTTGGTTTGGGTGGTGTCTGTTTTTTTTCATACACGTTTATTTCTAAGCACATTTAAAAATACCACCCATTGGCTAAAAGTACTGTACCATTAGAAGAATAAAACAACTTCAATAAAAGTAATGGGAACTCAGTCTGGTCAGAGAGGTAAGGACCAGAAGGCAAAAGGTTTTTTCCCCGTGCGATTTGTGACCATCGACATTCCTTCTAGTCAGAAACACATTTCCAGGTGAATAGAGAGGCAGGATAGGAGCGGTGGAGTTGGAGCAGCTTTTAAGGGTAAATGTTATCTTGCATAATACTCAGTTGACGGTTATGGTATCACTGCACTGTGTTGTGTTGCTGTACTGGAGGAAAAGGTTTCTGGATTTTACAGATGTGCTTGTTGTCTGCAGGTGTCAGGGTGGCTGACAGGAGAAGCAGCAGTCGTGCTTCAGGCGGGTTCACATTAATGCTAACGACACGTTTGTGCTCGCTCTCAAACCTGTGACGGGTCTATGCTAGAACACTAGAATGGTGACGCTATACTGTATTTTTGGGACTTTGTGACGTTGTAATAAATTCACATCCTTTGGTGGAAGGATCTACAGCAGCGGTCTCCAACCTTTTTTGCGCCACGGACCGGTTTGATGCCCGACAATATTTTCACGGACCGGCCTTTAAGGTGTCGCGGATAAATACAACAAAATAAAACTAGTACCGGTACTGAAAAAAAGAAGATTTATTCATAACACACGTGAAAAGACCCAGGAAAACCGAGTTAACGATAAAAACGATAACAAAATAACGCTGAAAACCGATAAAAACCCTGAAAACCAGACATTTCACACCTGAGCCTCAACTCTCGCGGCCCGGTACCAAACGACTCACGGACCGGTACCGGTCCGAGGCCCGGGGGTTGGGGACCGCTGCTCTACAGTAACAACAGCAAAAAGTTAGGTCCAATCTGCTGGGCATGCTGTCGGATCCATTGGGGATGAGAGGCATGATGTGCAGCATGATGGGAGAAATCAACACTTTCAACATGAAAACTTAAACTGGGGATAACAAATAAGAAAACCTTTTAACTTTTTTTATCTTTAATGTTATATTATAACCTGTAATTATGCTGCAGATTATGAATCTTATAGTTCACACAAAAACACTACAAACAGTAAATGGAAAATGAGATCGCCTCCACATCATTTTATGATGATATTTTTATCATTGTGTTTGTTGTTTAACCTGAGTAACACTTTAACACTCACAAACTGGACTGTTTCTCGCATCCAGCAATACTGAGGAAGATATGTCATTTACATTTAAATCACCAAATCTGTTTTGTGGAGAGAAAAATGTTTTCCCTCGTGTACGTGTGCTGCTCTGCCTGCAGGTCTGTCCAGCACAGCACTGACACACATAGCATGTCTGACACTAAGAGCAGCAGAAGCAATTGTTTCCCAGTCGGGCTGCACACACACACACACACACACACACACACACACACACACACACACACACACACACACTGTACTCTGCAGTATATCACTGTGATATCAGAATCTGAACTAATTCACACTAACTGCAAGAAGCCAGGTTATATTTAGTCTTTTGTTTTAAACGTTTATTCATTTCAGGTAAATAAATCCGGTTTTTAGCTTTCGTAGCACAGATTAGGCAGGACGAGCATCTTGTAGCCCTCCGGCTCACTCAGTCTCAGCCTTTTTTTAGTTTCATATGTTGCAGTTTTATAAATATTCAGTAACAGTAGCACTGGGTAAAGCAGTTTTATTTGAGGTTTGATTATTTCTGCGCCCCCTTCTGGATAGATGAAACTATGCACCTGGTTTCCACACCTGCTCTGCAGCAGTTCCAGCTGGCCCTGGCCTGACTTTTCAAACAGCACTCCTGGGTCTTCAGTAGAGGAAAGTCTAAGAATATACTCTGCTGCTCGGCATGGAGATTTTGATTTTAGAAGACATGGCTGATCCTTTTATGATACTAAGTCCACATTATGGGAAATGTTTTCTGAGTGTGACCCATGGAGAAACTGACTGAAACAAATCAGCTGCTTTAGGACAAACAGCCTGCAGACACCGCTCAGTCCTTTACATGTTGTAGCTGTTTGCTGTCACCAGGGGGCAGTGTGCAAACAATCAGAGGTTGTTTTTGTTGTTTTTCTGTGCTTCTCCTGTAAATTCTGCTCTTGATCCAGTGTTGGACGTACACACAGAATCATCCACAGCGAGCCACATGCTGTTCGGCTTTGTGGGCTGAAACAGGGAGCCGTGGAAAAGTATGTGGTGCTACTGCTGTGTGGGCGACGCTGGCTTGTGCCGTTGTTGGTTCATCAGCCAACCACTACGAAGAGCGAGCTCCTAACGTTCAATGAGAACCACTGAAAAGCGTCCTCTGCACTCTCTGATGCTTTTCTCTCCGATGTTTCTCCCATTCTTGATAAACTCTGGACTGCACAGGTGCACATTTGCATCGCTCCTCTGTGGCCTCCCTGTAGGCTCTCCATAGACAGATATCTATCCCAACGGTCACAACGTTGTACCACAAATTAAGCGTAACCCATCCCAGATATGCCAGCTGTCTTGTTCACTGCGAGGAGCCTGTCTGACCCGTTCATTGTCTCGCCACGTCTCTCTAACCTCTTCATTCTGTCTGGCAGCATGAACAGAATTAAGAGCGTCGCTGTGTGAAGGTCAGACATACTGTTTGTGTCTGGCCAAATGGGTGGTCTGTAACCTCGCTGCTGGGGGGTTTATTATATGTATGTGTGGCAGAGTATGAGTGCAGCGTGCAGGGTTGTGACCTGTGACCTCACAGGGAGTCTCCATACACTCTCCACACATTCCCTCATATTCAGAGATGTGTAGAGACCAAACCTGCCCCCCCTGATGGATTATCCCATCCTCCATTTCAGCAGGTTGTTTCATATATCCATTACTCTATATGTGCAGGCATGGCAATCTACTGCCTGAGCAAAGATGGAGGGGTGTGGGGTTTTATTTTCCCATGTGGGACATACAGAGGGGGGATTGTGCCCCACAGGAAGCAAGCAGCCGTTATTTGTCCAAAACATCCATCTCTGCGCTGAAGTTGGAAAAGCCTTGGAGCGAAAGTAGTAGGTCCTTGTGGCTGACCTCCTTTGTTCCATTTTTGCTTGTGTCATCACATTAAGACTGAGCTTAGAATGTGCCCGAGAGCCGTGAAGCTGTGAGCGCACACATGTGGTCTATTGTCTTTAAAAGAGCATCGTCGTGCACAGTGGCAGTGATGAAGTCACACGTCATCATCACCATTAAAGAGTTAAAAAGTAAAACATGACTACTATGTGGTGAAACAGCTGTATTGATAGCTTAACGACAAGATCTGTGAACTGGAGACGATCTGCAGACAATGAGATTGTAGCAAGTCTTAAACAGTTTTCGATCAGCGTGTCCTCCATCGTCCACCCTACAACATTCACACACTTTCATCTCATGCTCATTATTGTTATAGCACATTAGCTGTACTGTGTTCATTGTTCGTTGGGGGTTATTGATCATCAGGTTGAGGGACCACCACGGAGAAGTGTTAAGCGAGCTCACGGATGACTGACTAGACCCTGAGCTGTGCTGCTGCTCGTCTGCTTCCCCGGCATGATGTCCTCATAAAGACTCTGACATTCACATCCAGCCCTCCACCCAGCTCTCCCTCTCCACTTCAAAGGCCACAGAACTGATACATCAATAATGCAAAATGACTCCAGCTCTGCCAGCCAAACTCAGATCCTGCCACGTGGTTCACCTTCCAGTCACCCCTCTAACACTCACGACCTCATGTCCTGCTAAACCCACCCACCCATCTTATCATGATCACACTCATAGAAATCCATTCTCTGACAGCTTCTATCAGGGGGAAGTGCAGTTTTCAGGTGATGCTCACCAATCTAGCGTTAGTGGAAGACAGATCTAACGATGGAGGTCAGTGGTGAGGACTAACTGAAGGATTTTGTACTGCTTTCAGCGATGAAGCAGTCAGTGTACTCCTTTCTGTTCTTAGCCAGAGTCTTACCTTGTGTGAACATTGCTTCCAAATACATTTAAAAATGCAACGGTGAAACATTTTTAATGAAGTTCAGTGTGGAACCACCTTTCCTCAAGTTCCACTCCAGGCTGCTTTATGGTCCCCTACTGCCGTCTGGTGGACGTTTCTATTATTGCAACTAGACTAAAGCGTTAATGTCCACACACAAGCTCCAGACCTTTTAGAAATGCTTTTGATTTTCTTGATTAAATAAAATATTGTCCTTTTAAGCACATCATTTGTCTTGTTGTGTTTTGGAACTGTTGAGAATCTGAGTCACTAAAGCGACACACCCGAGTCAAAGGAATGGGCGAAGCATCATCAGCTGTTTAATCACATAAAGTTGTGGAGAGACACTCAATTTTTGCTTTTCTTTGTCTGTCATCTGAAACTAATTTATCCCACAGTGCACCTACACTGTGTGTTTGCACGGAGGGAGGAGACATGCAGCAGTTCCACACTTCTACCATATGAGTTTGTTGTAGATCAGACCAAGCGGGCAATCTGGAAGCTATTATGTTGTTATGGTATGATGGATCACGTCAAAGGCATGTCCGCTGCTCTGTATTCGATCACCCTAAAGCCAGGTTGTGTGCGTGAGAGCTCCATTTCCCAGAAAAGATGCACTTATCGTGACTGTTGCCAAAGAAAGGAGACGCCTTTGTACTGGAAGTTTATCATGTGAACTCACATCAGCAGTCAGCTGTAATACTTTATATAGTGTTTAACCACAAAGTAGCCTGTTATATTTGCAGTTAAAACAGATATGATGCAAATGCTTATAAAGAACATGTGCGTCATTCTCCGTCAGGTTAACATGATCCTAATCATCACTTTTCCTTCTTTGTGTCTGTTTCAGGTCCTTGGCACTCCCTCTGAGGATATGTGGCCTGGTGTTAACTCCCTGCCTCACTTTAAACCAGGTAATTACCAGATCTTAGTATAGTTTTAATATACACACTGGCAAAAATCATGGCATGCATGATTAACTCTGTCTCTGTGGTGTAAGTCTGATGTTGTAGCAGTGCTACCCTGAAGATACACAGATCACATAAAAACAAAGGAGAGTGTTGGAGGAGGACTGAGGCCATTTGTTGTGACCATTGTATGGCTGCTGTTAGCATACAGCTTGCTTTTGCACAGGCATCAACACTTTGTACAATTAAATCTAACAAGATGCTAAAGAGTTAGCCTGAAACCGTATCTATGTAATAGATGCTATAATACTGCCGCTATGCATAACTTTTACTGCCATTAGTATCTTTAGTTGTTTGGTGTGCGGTTAAAGATAGCCTCTATGCTAACACTTTAGGCTACCTAATTCTGACTGACGGGGCGGGCAGATTGATCCAAATATCGATAATATCGATATGCCGGTGCTGCTGACTGAAAGCAGGTGTCCTGCTAACTCTTCAGTCTACAGAATCAGAACGACAGATAACAAGATCACATTTTAGTGTCCAGGTTTTGAGGAAAGCCGCAGAAGCTGTTGCGACTTGGTTGTCACGCTGTTGTGTGCATTCTCAGAACTCCAAAGCTTATCATGAATATGAGGCAACACTGCCACCTACCAAAAGCTCACTGTACCCCATTAGTGCACCAGCAGCAGAAGAGGGGGTGGCAGCCATGCCTTCTGGGAGCTCATTAGGGCTTTTTAGATAGGACATGAATAGAGGGACTGCAGAAGAGCTGGAGCTGAGAACAGGGGACAGGCGAGGATGGACATCAAGAGGGTTAGCGCGAGGGTTCGGGGTAGTGAGGCATCACAAAGCTACAGTATGTGACCCAGCCTCTTATCTCCAGTGGCCAATTAGAAACCTACTGGGGTGGCTTTCGTGGTCACATGCACATACAACCCATACTAATGTGACTTTGCATCCTGTGGCCACAGCGACAGTTGGCTCTTGTTAGCCTCTCGCACACTGTGTTGCACAGCTGTGCTGCTGTCTCACCCACACAAATGTACACACATGCCCGGCTTTGGCTGGCTCCAGCCTGCGAGCGCCGCGTCTCTTCATATGACGAGTGCATGTTCAGGACTTCTTGTGGCTGCGCTCTCAACAAACACGGGAAAAAGTGAGACGCTTGTGAAGCCCTGTAATGCCTCTGAGTGCACATCAATTACAACCTGAGTGCAGACACACAGTGAATGAGAGGATAATGCAGAAGCAGTTTTTAAGCACAAGGGAGAAATTGAACTATAATCTCCTGGAAGTGCACTTCAGGTCTAATCTGAAATCTTCTAAATGTTACACTGTGGCAGGAATAAAGTTCATGTTTTTCTTTGGACATCGACTGTTTTTTTACTCATTTTCTAGGCTTTGTGTCTGACCAGTTTTAGAGGATTTGTGTTTGCTTGGTTGTTTCTGTCATTTATTAATCACTTTAGGTAAAAACGTGCTCACGGCATAAACTGATCTTAGACAATCTTTAGGTACTTTGTTATTAGCAGCATGTTGTTTCAACAATAACACAGTTTGTCATCCATGAAATAGCCCCAACAAGATGATTCTTAAGAGTTACTAGCAAAAAAACTTAAGAAGTCTTAGTAGGTGTGTCCTTAAAAAATCAGAGGAAACTGGAGGATCAAAGAAGAAGTGCCCAAAAGATGAACCACAGCAGGAGAACGGTAATCCTTAATGATAGCAGGTGTTATACTACAGCTATAGCCTCCATAATCTGAATGATATTGTGTTGTATGCTAACACTTTCACAAAACTGAATGACAGGCTAGCCGACATAAGCAGATAAAGAGATGGACATATGAATAAAGCAGATCACTAGCAGAGCCCATTAAAACAAATATAATGGAAATCACAGCTGAGTAGCTGCAGTGGCTCTGTGGAGATATTGTGTGCAGACCAGCAGTGGATGGTGCTGAAACAAAACCAGTCTCTGCTGACACACTGAGTGGTAAAGAGGTAGGTCTGTGATTAAAGTGTGAAGACAGATGCAAAGACAAACTACTTTAGTATTTTTCTTTAGGTTTGTAACAATAAAAATCTGTTACTGACTTTGATTTTTTGCAGTATTTGAAACGTGTATAGATACAAACGAGCGTCTACATGTCTAAGGCTGCAGTGAGCAGCAGGTGGCAGTGTTGCGTCAGTCTGCAGAGTTTCCTCAGCAGGACTGAGCTCCTCTCAGCCGCCCGTTGTCCAAAAACACACGACTGCTGTGCCGAGGATTCGTCACATATTTCTCTGTTACTTCCACATAAATTCTGCAGCACCTTCCTGTCTTTCTTTTCTGTCCCGCTCCAACCTGAATACATCGCTGCACTTTCAGACACGATGCTGCGGCTTGGCCTTGAGTGAAGGCGCCGCTTTTTTTTTCCACATTTTTGTGGGAATGAAAAGGTTCCACAGATACTTCCTCACTTCCAGCCATATCTCCCTTTAGCTGCCTCCCACCGCTCTTGGTCTCAGTCATGGTCCAGCTCAGACTGCGTATCTGAAAATGAAACCTTGAAGGGAGGGCGCATATGAAACCTGCAACACAGCTGCACAGTGCACACAGGTACAAACATGCAGACAGTCTGACCAACACCTCAGACACAGCATAATGAAGGTTCTGGTTGATTTGAGCTGTGATTCTGACATATTAATGAATACATTTCAATAATCATGTTTTGTGGTATTTAAAGAAAGGACTAACATTTGCACCAGTATGCTCGAAATATCCAAAATTATGACTATTATGAGATGTTTTAGCAGCACAGCCTGGCTCCACCCCTCCTCCTGCTGATAGCTGGAGCCGTCTCCCCTGGTGCTCAGCGAGCTCTGGTCAGCTCACGCCGGCGCACCTGACACCAGCCTGGGCGACAGGACCCACTGCTGGCTGTCTTGCAAGCTGCAGGCTGATGCTGGAACAGGCTGTCTGGTTGCAGGCTAGCTGGATCAGGCCAACAGTGTGCGAGTCCAGACGGACTAGCTCACTGGGTGGCTGGCTAGCTTGTACAGTAGCTGACTGCACGCCAACATGGCAGTTTTGGCTGTAATTAAGAGAAGAACGCTGAGCCTTCACACATTCACAGCATAGCGATCATAGCTGCAGAAGCACGCAGACACTGCTTCACCAAACTCCTCTTGCAAATATGACAATTTAATGTGGTTTGGCCTTGCAGCAGAGGCACATAGTTCACACTGCATTGCTCAAGAGGATTTCATTCATTTTCCAGTCCTCATTTTGGCAAACTAATACACAAAGCAACACTTTGTGTGATAACATTAAGCTGTTTTGCCTGGTCGTCGCAGGCCTTCAGTACAGCACACATTTTTAAGATTCCAGACAAAGAATTAATTACATTGACTGTGGCTGCATTCCTTTAAGATGATCCGGTGAACTGTCCGGCACAGCTCAGTCTGAGGAGCACAGTGTTGAAGGTATAACTTACAGTGACAGGCCAGCTTTGTACAACATTGCATGTATATTTGTGTTTGCACTTTTCATGAGTGTGACTGTATAAAGTAGGAACTTGCCTTTGTGACAAACTGTTAGCTTTGGTTTTAAAATGTGGGACCGAAAAATGTATTTCCGGATGAGGTGCTGCCTGCAGAGCCAGAGAACCAAAGAAGATTGAGATGGATCCCAAACTAAATGTATTTAAGCTTTTGATTGTGGTTCACATGAAGTTGCAGTTAAAGTCTGACAAGCTAGTTACTGCAGCACTAACCGATTCAAAGTACTTGCTTTACCAAAATGTATCTTTTTGCAGGTTTTGAGATGTTTTACTGCCATTTTTATACCGCAAATGCTCAGTTTGATGCAGTTTCTTTTGACGTGTGTCTCTATAGGACAGGATCATCAAAGATAAACAGCCCCTGCTATGTGTCCAAATCTAAGAGGTAGCCAATCAAAAGGGAGCTGCCTTAAAGCAATAGGAACTAAAAGCACCGAGGCTATGTTTATTTCTTTTTTATTATTTTGATTTGAATCTTGCAGAACTACTCTAGTAGAATCCAAGAATAAAAATATGGAAGTGAAAATGGCCTGATTTGAAAAAGACAGAAACACAATAGCAACACTGCAGCAGTGAGCTGTGCTGGGTGGAGATTAGCAGCCAATTAACACACGGGAAGATCTGAAACTAGGCGGCCTTCTCTGTGAGGCTAAGCTAAGGCCCTGCCACTATTTGAAAAATCGTAGTTTGCAATTAATTATTGCAGCATCTATGTCTCGTAATTTGCTGAGACGTGCACGTAGAAGTTTGGTTCGAAGGTGTTTTAGCAGGTGTGTGTCATTAACCCAGCAGCAGCTCTTAGTGCAGCCATTTAATTGCTTGTTGTTTTTTTCTCGTTGCAGACCGCTTTACAGTGTACAGCGCAAAGAAGCTCAGACAAGCTTGGAATAAGTAAGTGAGCTGTGTGTGTGTGTGTGTGTGTGTGTGTGTGTGTGTGTGTGTGTGTGTGTGTGTGTGTACAAGCCTGCATGCAGCATTACTGCAACATCATATGTGTGACTTGTGTTGTGCGACATCAGGCAGGAAAAGGGCAGGGCTTGGCAGTCAGGGCTTCTCCCAGATGTGTGCCACTGTTTGCCCCAGGCGTACATCTGGAGTGGAGACAACGGCGGGCAAAAAGGAAGTGTGACTGTTTTCCAGAGGGAATTTGAAATAAGCAGCAGGGAAGTGATTTCTATAAAACTCCAGCTGTCTATTCAGCTACAATCACAAAGTATAGCTGCTGGAACGAAGATTCGTCGTCACTAACTAAAGCCGTCATCACACAGGACGCTAAGACCTGCGTGCCTCCTGTGATTTGGAATAATTACACAGGTCATCCCCAGAGAATCTGCTGCGCCTCTAATCTGGAAAGTAAAGAATCTGCCACAAATTACTTCCCATGATGTGCAGAACATTCTGCCGCTGTATGAATTATCGCCAGAGTCATCTGCATCAGTGTATTTTATTTTATAATGATAACTGTCAATAACAAGATTCAAACCTAGAAAACATGCCCTCAGTGTGTGCTCTTTAGTGCCAGGACATGAAAACCAGGGAGTTAGTTTCTAATTTACACTTGGATTTTTATCTTTGGACAGTAAGTCCTAAAACCTGGAAATGGTTTTTCAGCTTCTGCTTCCCTCATCTTCAAATCACTGATCTTTCTGAATGAGTTCTTGGTTAGATGTCTTTATTCAATGTAACCCTTACATGTTGTCACACTTTCTCATATAATATGCATTTGCTAACAAGTGGATCAGAGAGAGTACAGACATCGTTGAGGACATTTAATGTCGTATGATACAAAATACAAACGTTACGTGGTGATGACGCTGACTTCTACCTCAATGGTCTCATTTACTTTAGATCCTAATGTTGCTGTTTTACTTCTGACGATGTGTATTCATGCTTCAAACTGTTATTTCTCCTTATGGAAATGATCATATACACTTTTATTTTGTGTGAAGCTAATGTTACACGATAATGCAGAAGCATGGCTCTTTGTTAAGGGGGCCACAGTGATGCTAACGTCTGGGATGGCATACAAAACATCATCCCTGCAGCACTTATTTCATGCTCCACGCCGTCGTGTTCTCCTGGCTGCAGTTATACATTTTACCCCCAAATTAATATCACACGTAGTGGGCACTACAGTGGACAGCTATTCAAAGGCTGTTTTCTCTAAAAACTAAAACTGACATTTTTACACTTAAAAATATTGAGTAGATTGGAAACCAGTCAAATCTGTTCAATATACTTGATCAATTGAATAACTAAAGCTTAAACATATGAAGTTGAAATGAATAATTGTAGTTGTTACACAAACATGAAATATAGATATATTTTTGTTCCATTTATTTAATATTGTAAACTGAACGTAACCAAAATTGTTCTTAATACTAACATTCAAATATGAATGTTATTATATTTCACTGGTAGTCTAAGTCTAAACCAGACAAACTAATATGTAGTCATGTGTTTCATAATACATGTATGAAAAATGACCACATGTTAACATTTTTCCAAGAGAAAAATGTATTTTCATAAACACGGCAGTAACTCGAAATAAACAAGCACTAAAAAGACAAGAGCCTTTCCCCTTTTAGCTCAAAGCCTCACATACCTGAAGGATGAACGTCAACCCAGGAGCGCAAACACAAACGCTCAGAGTATTTAAAAAACACAATGAACAAAACAAAGGCTCATGGTACTCAATTACTCTACGTTATCGTGTTTTACTTACACTTTTCAGTTGTAGTTGCTGACAATAAATAATATTGATTTGAATAATTAATGATTTTAGTACAAGATACTGATGAGTATAGATACATATTTCTCAAATATTTAGATTCAATTTTAAACAGAAATATTAAGCACATGCAAAGAAGGTATTCTGTGAACCACATACTGAATTTTTTGTCTGAGATAAATGTAAATAAATACCTTAATTAACACAAACACATATGTTAACATTTTAGAAAAATTTATTTCACTCATCAAACTCAAATAATTACTAAAAGGATATTCACAGATTCTATCAGGCTCATCTAACTTATATTTATAGTGATATTTACTAAGCCTCTGAATTACTTTTTAGAGTGTATTTGTGTCAGTGTTGATGGTATACTTGCACATAAACCACTACGTTGAACACTGATGTGCCACTCCATACTAAATTCATGAGTCAGAACGTCTGTTGTCCACCTAAGTGGACATGTAACAAACTCTTTGAAAAGTACGTTTAAAAGATAAAGTTCAAAAATCTTTTTTTCATGCCTAAAGATGGATAAAAATCCTGATTGAGGTTGTCATAATTCATGCATGAAAGGGTTCATAATATAAACTGATTAGTAACTGAAACACTTGGGATTTTAAGCTTATACGCTGGGTTGTAACATCAGCTGGGGATATCAGTTTGACCCCAACACTTACAGTTAATTGCTCATTGGCTGGTTGGTGTTTTATATGGTATGAAATTCGACGTGTTTCTGAGAGGCTTACTTTAGGATCCAAATATCAAAGAGTTGATCCACAAGTTCTCAGAGTAAGTATTTTAGTTGGATGGGTTTGATTTGAAAGCAACTAATGTAGAGTATAATGATTTTAATAGAAGGATCCTTTAACCTCCTGAGACCCGAACTCTTCCACTGCAGCATTTTTAATTTCTCTTTGCTATTCGGGCTGATTGGGACCTGATGAATGTAAAAACAAAGAATTACCAGATTTTTTTTTTTTACTTTATTTTTAATCAGAGCCACATATGAAGATATTCGTTTAAAATGTTGATAGAACAGTAGCAGCATAATGTCTTTGTAAGTGGATATCAGGCCCTTGTAGAGCAAAATTGAGTATTTTGGTCTAAATAACCCAAAATGTGATGTCCACATATGTGGACGCCAGGTCCTAGGAGGTTAAAGAAGTGAACTGAAGCATCCGAGGACAAATGAAAAGCAGACATAAATGTTAGCTGCGGTGGATTCCTCGGTCCCTCCCAGTCTCCTGATTTTCTCGAGTCCAGGAGGAAATAAAAATTTGCAGAAAGAAAGTGAGGTGGAATGTTAATGGCCATCACTTCCTCTCAACTGCCTTTCATCACAGTCCAGGGAACGGTGAATTCGATATGAACTCGCTATGTCCTGCCCTGAGACTTGGCTCACCCCCTCGTGCTCTCTGTGTTTCTGGTTTCCATCAGCCATTTTTCTCTGCTGCACTGTTTTTCTTCCAGCTGTGAAAATGCGGACGGCTGATGGACAGGAAATCAATCTGTGTCTATGGGGGTTTTATGTGTTTGTGTGCCTTGACGTGTATTGTAGTACAGTTGTTTCCCCCAAAGGCCAGAGGCAAAGTTTTTGTTAAAGCACTGCATTTAAAGTCTGCGTCACAGGTGACAAGAGTACAAAACACGGCGCTGTGGTCAGGTCGCAGCAACAACAGCAGCTTTGAAATGAAAGGTTTTTGTTGAAATGCAAATAAAATGTAAACCAGATCTTTCCCTCACTTCACACCAACTGCTGCTAGGGCCTAAAAATACACTCAGCGGACACTTCATTAGTTACACCTCGTTAGACCTTTTTTGGGGCATAGATTCAAAATTCATGCATGATGTGGCTCGACCGTTCCAAAGGTTCGAGTTTATATCTGGTGACTGCTGACGTCTGATTGGCCAGTTTGAGATGATTTGAACATGTGACATGGTGCATTATCCTGTTGGAAGCAGGGGTGTGAAACGTACGGCCCGCGGGCCACATCTGGCCCATTAAAAATGTCATATTATTAATATCCCATCAGTACGTGGGAGACGAAACTTCAGCCCTGCTGTGAATCCATGCAGGCAGGGGTGCGACACACCATGTGGCCAATCACACGCAACGACACACTGGGATCATACCATTGTGTGAAAGAAGGAAGGGGGGCAGACGTTCTGTGGTACGGGCCAGGTACACAGAGAGACGTGAAGCCCGATTTAAAGACAAGCGTGTCGAGAGAAGTGAATAAATGAGTTAAAACGTAAAATCATCGTCTGTCTGCATGTCAGTGATATCGAGTGTCTAAATGAGTCTCGCAGGCCTGAACGTGCGCTGGAAGCCATTTATAATTCTTGTTTGATCTGCCGCTCAACACAAACAACCACAAGCAGAAATCTTTACTTTTAACTGTATTTGCACAAGTTTTGCAGTTTTTTCCTACAAATTTCCCTTATGGCCGTTCATACCTCACAAAGAAATTTAACAGTAAACACATAACCTGTTGAACCCCAGTGCCCCTAGAGGCGAGAGGGAGAACAACTGGATGATCAGATCTGTTATTTAAATATTTATGTATAAAGTTTGAGACCCCTGCATTAGAAGATGGGGTACACATAAAAACCCAGGCTGGCTTTGACATTTAAATGATGGTCTGTAGGTACTAAAGGAACATGGATGGGTAGTCTTTGTGCATGAGGTTGCTGCGATGTGCACAGACTAAGTATAAGCAGGAGTATATGCCAGTGGTAAAATTCACCTCGGAGTACTACAATTACTTTATTAAACGAAAAGTGAGGTGGAAAACTACTACTACTATCCTCAGATCAGTTGCACTGGGGCCTGTTTGGTCATGTGTTGCTGCCTTCACACTTGGTTTTTATTCAACAATCTCGTCATTAAATTAGTCAGACATGGTGAAAGCATTTCATAGAAATTCTTCAGACAAAAAACACAAAAGCTTTCTACCTAAACAGCTCCGAGTGGCCGAGATGAAAGGTCTCCTCTGCTACTTTCAGTTGTGGTGACGAGACAATAGAGGCAGGTGGTCTCCTCGCCCTCGCTTCTCGAAAGTCCTTCCTGTAGTTATTTTGATGGATTACCATGAAAAAGCACTTGCCATGCTCCAGTGAAGAAGGAATGCCTCAGCCTGCTGTGAATGTGTCATCACCTAGATCTGTTTGATAGCCACAGGAGACACTATCGATCTTAATGCAGATGTTGGCTCGTTCGCTCAGCTAAGTTGGCAGCAATAGCAGAAAGGAATGCACACCTACCATGCATCAGCAGCTTTCAAAGGCCAACATACTGATATCCAGGAGATTTCACACCAACAACTATGTGCCCGCACTCTGTGCGCCTGCAGAGAAAAGACAACACCTGAATCCAGCTTCACTTACAGACTGCGACTAACCAAAGGCACGTTCATAAGGTTTCACTGGAAGATTTGTTTTTAATGCAGTAGAGTTTATCATTCCAGCTGCAAGTTTGGGACATGGTCATATTAACCTCACAGTAATATAAATTAGTGGCCCCTGTTTACATCCAGGGGACATGTTTTCATCTCAGTATAGATTATTAGTTAATCTGCTGACTGATCGAAAAGCAGGCTAATTATATCGATTTTTCAGTTTTAGTGAAACTGGAAGTGGGGATGATATATAGATCTGCAATAGGCAGATCTGCAAGCGCCTCCTCTGATTGGACTATCGGTAGGGGTGGGCGATATAAATGATATACGATAGAAACGATATAAATTTGGCCAACGATAGAGATTTTGACTATCGCTCTACCGCGATAGCGCATGTTGATGATGTCATCAAGCTGCGCCTGTTTTGGTCGAAAGCATCGCAGCGGCTACAACCATTATCATCTGCAAATTATGGCGGGCGACAGTCATAGCAAAGAGATGAAGCACTTTTGAAATATGGGGAAAGCCAAAAACTGCGCTTCCTCCACTTCCGTAACATTGATTCATTAATGTTGAATTCTCTCGCAGCTGCTCTATTCCCATGTTGTTGCAGTATATTAATAACTAACCTCGTATTGTGGATGAATAATCTCAGTTGTTCTCCTGACTGAAGTTTGGCCCGTGTACAGCATCCTGCTATGCGATTGCATTTGTCCCTGACCACCAGAATCCCTCACGTTAACTTTTATCGAGTGGAAAAAAAGTTGGCGTTCATCCTCCAGCTTCACTGTGCTAATGTTATGCTAACATAGCTGTGTCGCTAGCAATCACGTAGCACAACATTATATACCAGGTAGTCCAACTTCAGTAACCCTGCAAACGCCACTGCTGTTTAGTTTTCTGTCTTCATTTATGTTGGAAGTGGTAGCAGAGCTGTACGTTTGAATTAGTTTCAAAAATCTCTCAGAACATGGTATGAAATGTTTAGGTGGAAACTAGCGAGCTAACTTCCTGCTAACTTCTAACTCCGTTAAATTTAATAAATTCTGTTTTCATGGATGTTAAACTTAATTGTTACACCTGGTAAAGCAGCAACGCTGATGATTTTATTAAAGATGAAAGAATTTAGACCGTTTTTAACTCTCAGTGTTCGTTTGACTTTGGGACCTGACGGACGGAGTTTTGGACCCAGATTACTCCGCGAAGCTCCTCACTACGGCAGCCGTAATGCTCTGACAATCCATCAAGCAGTGCGGCTTACCAAAGTTGTACTAAAACATTTTTTAACAGATTTCTGCAGCCAAAATCGGTTCGAGGTCAGTAAGCACAACCAGAATTCATACATAAGGCACACTCTCGATTTTTGAGAAAATTAAAGGATTTTAAGTCCTTATAGTGTGGAAAATACGTTATACAGAAGAAAAGAATATATTGTGATATATATCGTTACAGCACATGCTTCAAATTATACCGCGATGTGGATTTTAGGCCATATCGCCCAGCCCTAACTATCGGTGACCTAAGGAGTGATGCTCTTGGTTTGGAGGCCACCTTGACTTCGGCCACAGTTTTCATCTTCAGCTCAGTAGATGCAGCTGCTGTTGCAGTTGGTCCATACTGCTCACAATTGCTTCCACTGTGCTGCAGCTTCTGGGTCTCCAGCTTCAATATTATAGCGCTGAGCTGCCAGGTGCTTCTTTGTCTATTACTTTAATGTTCTCATGCCTTAGTTTTAGTAGCCTCATTTCTCATCAAGACGTCCTGGTTCCCCAACACTGGACAAGGACTTTGTTACAGCAACGTGTGAGCTGGTGTGGCTTCAGTTACATGTTGTTCACTCATGTGTGGTAGTGAAAATTCAGATGTATGTATTGTAGCCAGCAGGGACGATATATAGAGCAGCAGCCCCCACCCCCGGACCACGGACCGGTACTGGTCCGTGAGTCGTTTGGTACCAGACTGCAACACCTTAAAGGCCGGTCTGCGACGGTCCGCTGGTCTATAAAATAAAATAATATGACGAAGACAAAAACTGTGGTATTTTGTAAATATAATAATAAACGTGAAATCACTGTGTAACTCTGTAACTTTATTCACAGCGTCCTCCTGAAATGCGCCAACAACATTGAGAGTATTATTCTCCTCTCTTCCCCTTAATGCTCTCTGGTCGCTATGGTAACGTGTAAATATTCCTTTCAAAATAAGACACACAACTACAACACGGAAAAAAACCCAGGGAAACCGAGTTAGCGATAAAAACCCTGAAAACCATAAATTCCACACCCGAGCCTCAACTCTCACGGCCCGGTGCCAAACAGCTCACGGACTGGTTCTGGGGTGGGGACCGCTGATTTAGAGGAGCGAGTGAAGTGTTTAGTTATCTGCTAACACTGGCAAGCTGCACCTGTAAACTGTACAGGTGGGATAGTGGAGGTCTAGGATGTTACAGTCCCAAGCTCTAGCAGGCAGCAGTGCGCTTTCTCTCTTTTCCAGTAAAGAATGAATGGTTACCTTCAGACTGCCACTAAGAAAACCAACATATAATCCCTGAGCAGGAGCGATGAGTAACCACGTTTTACACAGGTGTTTGGATGTGAACCTGCAAGGAAACGGGGTTGTTGGTGCTAGTGCTGCTAACAGCAGCCACAGTGTGTAATTCACTTTGATTATTGAAGAGCATAGTTTTAAGGTTAGAAAACGCTCTTTAATATAAATAACTATCGTTTTCTTACTGTTAGCCTGGACAATAGGCCTGATTAGTTTTTCTTCCTTTTAAAGACTAAAAAACCCAAGAGCAGTTCCTAGTGATCGTAGCTTTTCCTCCCTTAGCTTGTGTTTAGTCTCTGTTCCCATGTCTGCTCTCTTCTTTTCCTGTATCCCACGAGTCGCTGCGTTGCCTACGTTTCCTCAGTTGCCTGTGTTTCATAGTTTTAGTTTCCTGAGTCCAGTTTAGGTTCTAGTTCATGTACAAGGTTTTGGAGTCTTTTGTAGAGGTAATTTCTTATGGCGAGTGTATCCAGCAAATAAAGTTGTGCTTTGAGTCCGTCATTTGGGTCTTTCTGCCTGCCTGCCACACAGCAAAACATGACACCTGGATGCTTTCTGTTTAATGAAGCTCTTTCTTTAACCTTTTTTGTGGTATTTTGTCTGCTTGAGCTTCCAAAATATTAAATAGTTGCACAAAATCATGGCTGTTACCTCTTTCATCTTAATCCTAATGTTATCATTTGGCTCTAAAACACAAAACCGTAGAACAGCAGGCCTTAATCTATCGGTACACTTTCACACACTGTCTGGTTTGTCTTCAAAGTTTTCAGTAAAGTTACACCCAGTATGAGAAAGAAGCTCGTAGAGGCCCTGATGGACTTCATTAACTTTATCTCTGCTTCTGTTCTGAGTGGCGTTGATGAGTTGAACAGAGAGTTATCCTCCCTGCATCTCTCCGCTGATAAGTTGAGTCGAGATCCCCTCTGAGAGTCATGGGAGTGGCTGTCAGAGTGCTTGACTAGGGACTCAGCCACGAGAAACCCAGAGAACATGAGAGGCGTTCTGAGTACTGCGAGCGTGGGGCCGGTGAGCAGCGCAGAATAACATCATGTTTATTTAATGCAGTAGATGCCTCATTACTGACTGAATTTGTTGCTATTCGCTTATTTTCAATCTTTCCTCTCCCTCGGCGCTGCTAGCTGGGCTGGTTCAGGAGTTCAGTGACTCCCAGTTCGAATGAACACACACACACACACACACACACACACACACACACACACACACACACACACACAGTCTTTCTTTAATGAGGCCTTTCATTGTTTCTCACGGTGACCCAGTCAACATGTATGATTCAGACTCAAAAGAAAAAGGTGTGAGCTTTTGCATGCGTGCGTTTCTTAGATGCGTTTTTCCTCTCGAGTCAGCAAACCTTCAGCATAATTAAAGCGCTTGCTGCTTGTTGTCAGCAGCTCTGTGATTTGGAGAAAGTTGCTCTGTCTGTGTTTAGAACAAACTGACTGTATTTTACTTGGATGCCTTTACTGCCTATTTCCAATGAATGTATCTCCAGATATACTGTTCACGTGTCTTTTCGGTGTCACTCTGGTGTCTGACTATGTGTAACTGTGTGTTTAAGGTTGGGCTATGTGGACCATGCTGAGGAGTTGGCCTCCAAGTTCCTCCAGTGCTTCCCAAAGAACCGGCTGTCAGCTCAGGCAGCACTGAACCATGAATACTTCAGCAACCTTCCTCCACGGCTCTGGGAGCTGCAGGACAGTACGTAACACATCATCATTGCCTGCAGTGTCGCAGCCATTTGCCACCATGTATTGAAATACAGTGCTGATAGAGACCGCTGAGATCCTGCCCACACCCAAGGAAAAGCCAGTTCAAGGCTCTCTGCTAACTTTGTGTCCTTTTCAATGCTGTCTGCTCACTAAAGAAATAAAAAGTGCGAACAAGCTTCTGTTTGGCTGCATGAAGGCTGAGGAAGTCTGAATAAAATCAAAAAATGAGCCTTTTGAGGGGAAAAAGATTGATTCTGAGATCCTTGGTGATTACTGTGCATTCAAATGATGCGTTAACACAGTCGCCATACTGTTCATGGGGAATGTGTATGCAGGCAGAGGTCAAACATCATCATGAATCAGTTCAAGTCATGACTGTCCATGATTGTCTTCTAACTTTATCCTTTGGAAAAAATCCAAAACAGGCTATGAAACAGATACAGAAACATGAGATGAGTCATTTAAATTTGAAGGGACACGCTTTTCTTTCACCTGACATAAGCAAGTGTCTGTCAGTCACGTGATATTAAATCAAAAAATCACTGCTATGTATCAAATTAAACACTCTAAAAACAACAGCTGGACAATGTTAGTCTTTGTTGTTCAGTTTTAACATAGCTGTATTCAAACCCCCCGAACAAGATGGCCGTGCAGAGATGGAAGTCCGGATGCAGCAGTGAGATTTAGCTTTTCCTCAGTATGTGTGTCCAAGCATTTTTCACTGAAAATCAATTATCCAAGTGTTTGTTTATTCAGCCAACACGTCTGACAGTGTGCGGCTTGTGTGAGCGTGTAGTGTGGAAAACTGAAAAAACTATGCTATGTTTGTACAGAAGCTCACTAACATGTAGCTTAGCTTTAGCATCAGCTCCTGAGAACTAGGAGGCAAATCCATTGCAATGTTCTGAAAATAACAGGAAGTTAATTGTTGTAGTTTGAACCACTGAACTTAATCATTCACAGCGTGTTCTGCAGAACCTGCTCCAGCACACAGCTCTCGGTGACAATTAGCACATTTCCAAATGCTCTGCATTGAATTGCTGCATTTTGCATCAGACATCACATTTGTGCTTGGAGTCATAACTCAATTCTGAACACATGTAATACACACAATGCTTTACTTTTTTTATCTGACTGTGAAAACGAACTGCAAGGACGAAGACACTCCTTATAACCCCAGAGCCCAGCTGCAGCTGTCTCACAGCCATACGGTGCCGTCAGACAGCTTAATGATGCAGAGTTAGTTAAATGCAAGAATATAGTATATATTTGTACACATTAGAACCATATAGTGCAGTATTCTATTAGTGCGGAATAGAAAATATCAATGACTGTGCAATAGAACAGCACATGATAGTAGGAAGGCTCTCAGTAGTGAATAGTACAGGATGTGATGAAGAGGAAAATGTCTGGTGGGGAGTGTGGGCGGTTAGTGAAGCTTGTCCAAAAAGCTCAGCTGCAGTTTGCACAGAACTTCTCTTTGACAGTGTGAGCCCGGGGTGCACAAAACCATACGCATGCCAACAAACCACAAGTCTCCTGACCTGATACGCCACCTTTGGTTCTTGGTCGCTGAAAGCTGGAAACCCAGCTCTCATTACCAGTGTCGGGTCAATTTCATACACCAGTTGAAAGTGTTAGGTCAGTGTTGGTCCATCACAGATGCACAGAAATGCAAGTGGACAGAAAACGTAAAACATGAACCACACAGTGGTCGGACGCAGAGAACTTCAAAGATTCAGCCGAATTCAAGTCAGGTGTGATGTTAATTTAATGGACTGCGAGCACTGAGGAGTCTGCTGTGCTGAATGCTCAATTAAGTCATTAATTTGGTTGTTAATTAATTACACACTGTAGAAATATTAACAGTTACACAGACGCGATGATGCAGTGGTTAGCACCATGTGTGTGTGTGTGTGTGTGTGTGTGTGTGTGTGTGTGTGTGTGTGTGTGTGTGTGTGTGTGTGTGTGTGCCCATTTCCCCTCTTCTGATGTGGCTTTGCTTCCATGATTACTGCAGGTCAGGTTGATTCAGGTGCAGGTGTGTGTTTATTACCTGTCTGTCACCTCTGTGTGTCTCTTACTTGTTGCCAAGGCTCTCTCTTGGAAGCCTCTGAAAAGTGGAAGAGGATGTTTTTGCCTTGCCTCTCATCCCGTTTTTTGGCTTTCTTCAGCTCACGTAGATCGTAGTCGTCTCTCTCTATGCCTGAAAAGAAGGCAGCTGTGTGGATGCCGATGAGACAGTAGGCCCAGTGGGACCTCTGCTGTCCACTGCCATACGCTGAGTTTGATTTTGCCCAGAGAGAGCATGTCTCTGTAAAGAAGCCCCAGCTTTCGACGCATCTTCATTTTAGAAGCTCGTGTATTTTGGGCGCAGCAGTCAGAGGCTTTAGGCAAAGCTTCACAGTTAGGCTACGTTTCAATTAATCCTACAGAAATGCTTGAAAGTATGTCAGAGATGACTGCCTATCCATATTGTCTGACAAGCTACAGATACATGTGTAAATCCCTTACGCTGTAATTCATTAGTAGTGTGAAAAGCCTGCTCAGCAGACCTGAGTGTGCCACCACTGACGCGCTGCTTATTTTAATGACAGAACTGCATTTTTAATTCCCCCCGATTAGGATTTTTCAGTATTATTAATCCTGTTATCAGCACCCAGCAGGTTGTCGTGTCTGAAAAGAATCAGAAGGCAGCGGTCAGTGAGAGAGAGGAAAGAGATGCCTCGTTTTGATTTTTGTATGCTCGCTTTATCTCTCTCTTTTCGGCATGCAAGTGTGCCACAGGAGAAGCAGCGGCGCAAACTGAGGGAAGAATGGGAGTGAATTAAAAGAGTTTAGAAAATGAGGACAGGAGTGGATAAGCAGGAAAATGGTATCTCAGTATCGTGGGGGAAGGATGTGTCAAAATTATGCAAATGAAGAGTGAGTGTGAGATAAAGAAGTGGCTAATTACTCCAGCTGTGAGTATTCGGCTGCGACTGCAGCATAGTGATTGTGTTGTTTGGCAGAAACAGGAGCCAATGGGAGCGGTCCGCCAGAAACATGCTGCACTGCCGTGCAGTTAAAATAAACCAAATGAAAGAGATCCTGACTTTTCTAATGACAAACACGCCAAAGGAAAGTCAAGGAAATGTCTCGTGTTCTCCCTGACGAACAATGTGTTTTCTATGGTCAACTGTGCGCTCTATTATCCTGTGTATTATGGATTTGTTCAGACAATACCCAGACAGATTACAGCGAACAATGAAAGAATTACTGAGACAATGGAGCTCCCGAGGTTGCTGTTAACTGTGCGGATTGCCTTGTGACATTTTTAATTTGATTTGAGTGAGAGTGTGTGGGTGTCTGGCAGTGCATGGAGAAAGTGCAAAGGCCTTTGGATAAGGAAAATACAAGCCCCCTCTCTCAGGGCTGGATGTGGAACAGACATTAAAGTACTGAGACACAGCAGTTGTCCTCCAGTTCCACTGCTCTCTTGGCAAAACTCTGCAACTATTTCAGAGTCAGAGATGAAGATGTGTTCTCCTCACAATGGACAGCGTCGATTCATTTTCCACCCCCAGAGGAATTTGGTTATAAATGCAGCTTTTTAATCTTATTGTTTTCCAGACAAGGAGCCAAAGGAGCTTCAAAGATAGAGGATCCCCACGCTGATTTACAAATTTTTAACCAAAAATGAAACATGCTAATGCTCTTCGACCAGTTTGAAAACCCTGACGCTGTTTGCTCTTCTTCTGTTTTCATCTCACATCCCCCCAAATTCCCTTGATGATTAATAATCATCTGCCTCGCTGTGCAGTTTAGGCTTCACAACTGCAAACAATGGTCACCGTTCCTTCTTCTGTTTGGACTGAATCCAGGGAAGGCATTCCTATTAAGTCCTTTGTATAGAAATGAGCTGTAATTCAGCTGAGGGCTCAACAGGGGTCAGTCCATCCATCCAATCTCTTCCACTTATCTAAAAGCCTGGAGTGGGTGGAGCCTATCCCAGCTCAGGGGTCAGTCAGTACAAGTAAATAAAGAGCTAAATGAACCCCCTACTTTTTGTAGCTTTCTTAAACACCGCATCGATAATGTGTCTGAAGCGAAAAAGGAAGACTTGGTCATTTCATGCTGATTGGTCAGTTAAGGTTTCGTGACATATTTCGGTGGCACTCCATTTCCAAGCGGTATCTGTTGTCTTCATCCACACAAGAAACTGCCTAGGAGACTTATGGGAAGACTCGATCGTCACAGTGTAACACAACGTTTTTTCAATTTCAGTGATACCAGTCTGTCCAGTCAGGATGTAAACACAGGCCAGCGGGAATCCATTTCACCTGCTTTGAAAGTGGACAACAATCAAAAAGAGGATGTTTTTGAGGTGGTGACCAGTAGGGCTGCCACAAACGATTGTTTTGATAGTCGACTAGTCAGATCATCATCCATTGGACGTACAGCGTTCAGCTTATTGCACCAGCAGCATCTGCTCTTATATAACTATCATTAGCTTACAGCTTTAAGTGTTTAAGGTGCTAACTAAAAATAAAGACAAGATGATAGTTTATTAAATTTTAATGAAATTTGCAGATTGTGAAGTTTAATAAACTCCTTGCTATCTAAAATATAACAGGACACCGGAGTAAATTCTCGAGCATCTCACACTTCTGATAATCAGCTGTCTGCTTGACGTTTATTCAGCTGTGTAAAAACTATAACTTTAATCTCAGCCAAACCGATTTACTCAGGAACAAATAAAATACTAAAAAAAAAAACAAACAAACAACATTTTTAAGTTATCTAAGTGACTCATATATCATGTTTAACCTGAGTAGCGAAAGACGGCGGTGGGTTTGAAAACGATTTGCCGGGAGTCCGGTGTTCTCACGGCTCTAGTGACCTAGCCCCCGGCTAGCTATCGAGCTAGTGGGTAACAGACGTCTCCGAGCGCTTTTGAAAATATGTGGTGTCTTGAGCAGATATAGGCTACGTCCACACGTACCCGGGTATTTTTGAAAACGCGGATTTTTCTACGCGTTTGCACCTTTCGTCCACACGTAAACGGCGTTTTCGGTCACTGAAAATGGAGATTTTTAAAAACTCCGGCCAGGGTGGATATTTTTGAAAACTCCGTTTTTGCATTTACGTGTGGACGAGAAAAACGCAGAAAACGCAGCGTCAAAGGTGTGCGCCTTTTTTGACGTCACACTGTGCGCCACGTTATTGTTTCGGTGAAATGAATTTCTACAATACTGTTACTGTTAATTCTACTCTCTGCAGTGTTTAAATGCTTACATATACACACAGTTACTGTCCCTCCACACATACGACTCGGTTCTGCTTCTATGCCCCAGCTTTGTTTACTTTTTCCCACCGAGGCTTCTAGACTTCTGATTGGCCAACATTTCTGCACGGTTAGGAATCTAGCGCCACCTGCTGCTTTGGCATGTTCATAGCAGCGTTTTTCTTCATTTCTGCCTTTATGTGTGGACGGGATTATTTTTTAAAACGAAAACGGAAAATCTCCGTTTTCAAAAATACCCGTGTACGTGTGGACGTAGTCATAAACTGAGCAGATATTTGAGGTTTACACAGCTACATTCTCGCCTGAAAATATGTTAAACGTTTATTTTGTGACCCAGAAAGAATAATAAGAGTAATATTAAAACTAACTAGCTGCCGCCATTGTTGGAAACTAAGCTGGGCCGCGCTATGAATTCTGGGACACAGCTTCTTCTTCTTCGGGGTTTAACGGCAGCTGGCATCCTTGTACATGCAGTGCTGCCATCTTCTGTTTCAGTCCGTTATTACACTCTTAAATCCTGCTACTTATTCCTGCGTCTTTTGGGATCTTACAAAGCTTCAAACGGCGCGTCGACTATTAAATCAGTCATCGACGATTTTGATAGTCGACGTAATCGTGACTAGTCGACTAATCGTGGCAGCCCTAGTGACCACAGACCGTTGCTCTCTCCAGCTTTGCATTCCGTTCATGTCCTGTTACTGTTGATAGCAGGAGGTTGTGCTTGCACCTAATTCAGGTTGCACAGGTCGTCCAGTTGTTCCAGGACTGCACATCCATCCATGACACCTCAAGTGGGTGTGCTGCGTCTAACACGCCAGTCCCAAGAGTGTGGCGGAGACACCGGGAGACAGACCTGCAGAGGGCCATAGAAGGCCAGCATCCTATGACCTGCTAAAGCCCCACAAAATAAGCCCCACAGGCTACTCATGTGCACTGTCAGAAACAGACTCCATGAGGGTGGCAGGTTCAATTCAATTTTATTTATACAGCGCCAAATCACAACAACAGTCGCCTCAAGGCGCTTTATATTGTACAGTAGATCGTACAATAATACATACAGAGAAAAACCCAACAATCATATGACCCCCTATGAGCAGCACTTTGGCGACAGTGGGAAGGAAAAACTCCCTTTTAACAGGAAGAAACCTCCGGCAGAACCAGGCTCAGGGAGGGGCGGGGCCATCTGCTGCGATTGGTTGGGGTGAGAGAAGGAAGACAGGATAAAGACATGCTGTGGAAGAGAGACAGAGGTTAATAACAGATATGATTCAATGCAGAGAGGTCCCAGATCTGGGACTTGTGCCCCTTCTGTTCACAGATGAGAGCAAGTTTACACTGAGCATACATGACAGAATGAAGGAGTCTGGCAAAAAAGATTATGCTACCTGCGACCTCAACCAGAATGAGTGGTTTGGCAGTGGGTGACTGGTCTGAGAATACAAGTACTTGAAGAAGTTCTTAGACTAGCAGGACCCTGACTGCTGTTGGGCACCAGGATCCAGACCCATTGCCAGACCTTAAGCAGGCGCAGTGGACCCTGGGTTCTTCCAGGTGTAGGACAGTTTTTGCAATTATTGTTGAGCTATGTTGTTCGCAACAAATGACAGAGTGTATATCAGTAAACATATTCAACATTTTTGAGAGTTCTTGGATATTTAGAAGATTACGCTACGCTGACAACTGCAAAGACAGGCTGAAGTAGAGCATTTTTCCAGTATTTAAAGATATTGGTATGGGTGCGTTACTGGCACTTGTGGTATTTTAGAATGGTTTATTTTCTTTCTGCAGTGTGTCTATACTTCTCCATCCCAAAGTCAACAGTAAAACTTTCACACATTCAACGCAACTCACACAATTGTGTCATTTTTTTTACAACATTTATTAAAACCTTAAAGACCAGTGAGCACGTGTGTTTTAAAAGGCATTAGCTCTGTTGGCGAGGTTGCGAGTCTCTGCAAGTTGAAACTCATAGTGTATAGAAATGAACTCAAACTAACCAGTGGCATTAATTGTGGAACGTATTTCTGTCATTTGCTGAACTGATTGTGTTATCACTGGAATGGTCATTTTAAAACTGAAATGAGCTTTGCCACACGAAGCAATTTAAAGATCCAGTTCCTCCCGACACAAATATTAAAGCACGGAAAACTGTTGCTGCAAATAAATATTCAAATATTCACTTTTTAATAAGCATCTCTATCTTCAACAACTCACTTGGAAATGTTCTTGCTGTCAGCCTACATACTTCTAATCCGCTCGCGTCCTCTTCCCCCTGCAGTGTCTTCTATCTTCACCGTACCAAATGTCAAGCTGCAGACAGAGAGCGGGGACAGCATACAGGTGTGTGCACGAAGGAACAGTCATGGAAAGGCATCCTCTGGCAGCAAACACTGACCTGAGGCAGCATCCTGCACACGACTGCCTGACAGGTACGCGCTCATTAGCAAACAGTATGCTGCAGCAGAAGCAGCATGAAGTAACACACTCTCAAAAGAATAACATGGAACATGCAGACAGAAGGTGAAACTTTAATGATATGGATATTTTCATGTGCTATATTGCTTGTGTAGTATGTGAAGTAGTACTTGTTTGTGTCGCATGTGAATTTGAGTAGTGTGTTCTCAAATCAAACACGGTCACTTGTTCTCTGACCACAACTGACGTTTGCAACACTTTACTGGGATTGTCGTGCTAGCTACGGCATTTTCTGAATATCTGTGACTTGCTGTTCCTCTGAACACACATAATATTTAATCACGCTACACAGGTTAACGCTCATAAACACAAAATCTGTAGTCTTACCTGAAATGCTTGAATGCGCTGTTAGCTAAGTAGCTTGGGTAAGGCATGCACAGCATCCCACAGGCCGCCGCTGCTTTGGGGATATGCTATGAAGTTAATATTTTCTAACAAGACATGTGGAACAAGTGCTTATGGTCGTGTTTTATCAGAGTTACATGTCTTTATATGATCAAATATGGTTTCAGTTTATTCTTTTGTGCATACAGTGTGGCCTTATAGAGGAGAACTAGCTAAACAGTAGTAAACCATTTCTAAAACCTGGATGTTTACTCTCAGTTCATGCTTTGTTATATATATATTCTGCATATTTATCTGTCCATATATATACATATGTATGTATCTTCGTTGTATATGTGACACATGCAAGGGCCTAATGTTGTTGGATCATTTCTTATAATTGATTTTACCAAGAGCTGATGTTGCAGTGGGATTTATTTTTCTCTCATGCTCCTATTAGTGAGTCGAATCATATTTGTACATCTTTGGTTTTTTTATAAGACTAATCAGCCGATTTTCTCATAAATACAAGAAGAAAATCAAACAGTGATGTAATGGAAAAGATTGTCTATTAGAACACAAAAATGTCAAACAACATGAAAGTCATTAGCTATTCCCTCGCACAGTTCTCTGTCTGACACTGATCTGCATCCTGCCGACCACCACGGCCTTTCTTTTAACACCGAAGCCATGAGATCTGTGCCGCCTGCACTAAAGCAGAGAATCCAGTAATAGATGGAGGAATGGCTTTGAGTGGGCGAAGAGGGTGTCCCATTCTTTAGAGACGGGGGTTCTCTTTCAGGGCTCAGATAAAGCGCCGCTATTTGCATGTAATAAGAGGTGCAGAGGCCAGGCATGGGGATAATAGTTGGCCTAATGATGGAGCAACACAGGGCCACAACAGTGCACTGTGGGCCAGATTAGATCTGTAATTGCTGACAGGTGCATATATGTAGCAGACGCAGCAGCTACTCGTCACCAACTTTCTCCAGTGTTTCATTTCTTGACGTTTCATCGAAAAAGGTTTGATACAAAGTAGATGTATTTACTATTCTAGGGATTTTGTGTGTGTGTGCCCTGATCTGGGGCTAATGGCTTTCTCTCTCTCGCTGTGTGTGTGCATGCGCGTGCACATGTGGAGGGTGGAAGTCACCCCACCGAGAGCGCTGTGTCCTCTCAGCTGCTGCATTTACATTGAAATCAGCCTCTTTGTCCAAGCAGGCCTAAAGCCTGGCAGGCTGGGAGAGCTGCACTGATAGCAGCCTAATCCCTGTGCACACATTCCCATTAATACGCTGACAAATTACACCAACACATGCACACAGCTTTTTATACTTCCCCTCAAATGTAACTCATGCACCAGTATAACGCTACAATATAGCACTAAACAGCCGCACACTGTATGATAGTGTTTACTGTCATTCTTTTTAATGGTGAATGTGAGTATCACTGTGCTGCTCTGGGCTTTCCAAACTGCTGTTTGTGAGAGCAAAGTGCAGGATGTCAGTACTTTGAAGTTTAGTGATTGTAAATGAATGACAGTGGTTCTGGTTAAAAAAAATTTTTTTTAATTCTCAAATTTGAGGGACTCACAAAGCATATAACAAAAGGACTAATTGAATAAAAAACCCATTCCAGGTTCCATGGCACGCGGATGCACCGGCTTTGTAAAACTGTTTGCAGATAGATAACGACGCTCCGTTAAAGAGCGCTAAAGGTAGATTAGGACACTTTGCTTTTTGGCTGTTTGTTCTTGGCTAGGCTAGCATACTAAAAGCCAAAGGCTGGGTGTCGGCACCCAAAACTGTTTGGATACGGGTGTGAATAAAAGTAAAATTTATCCAGTGAATTTAAATGTGGTATGAAGTGGAGCCTTACAAGCATGACTTTCTTTACAATTACACCTACTGTGTATCTGAGAGAGTGAGAACACTTCTGTTTACACAGATATACAGCATCAGCAGTTTATAGTTTTTTAAGGTTGGCTACAATTAAATGGATTTTACATGATGGTTTCAGTTTTGCTTAATGTTGCACTTATACCACACACAGCATACTGAGATGTACTCAAAGAATGAGCGTAAATTCTTGAATGTAATATGCACGTGAATATGTACGGACCTGCTCCTAAAGCCTTTCTGCTAAAATCAGAGGTAAAAGAGGTGAGGAGAAGGGAGACAGGGGAAGGGCAGCGCGATCGCGCGAATAAAGGCTAGATGGAAGCAGTGGCTTGCGGGAGCAAGGCTGGATTTCTTTTTGTTGAGGCAGCGTTGTATTATTTATAGGAGGTGGTGGAGGCAGGCCGCTTCAGACGGAGCAGAGCAAAGAAGGCGAGCAGCCCCCTTTCTCTTTTGTGGATCTATTCCCAGTGGGCAGGCTTTGTGCTGGCTGGATGGCTGCCTTTGAGGAAACCCATGCAGCTATTGAGCTGAGAGTGAAGGCCAGACCCGACTCGCCCGCACTGAGACACAGCAGCGCTACAGCTCTACAATGTCTGTCACTGCTATGGCCGGGGAGCAAAAGAAAAGGATGGAGACAGAGTGACAGAGGATGGGGGAATAGTGGGAGTGTTTGATTTTGGCAGGGAGGGAAGAAAGAAATGGTGTTTTTGTGGGAAAGGAGAAAAGCTGAAAGTGATAGAAGGGCAGAAAAATGGAGGCGGGGTGGAGAAGAGAAGAAATAAGGGAAAGGTCTCCTTTACAGTACTGCAATACATTCATCTATGTTTATTCATGATTCTGCATTATTCACGAGATTAGCTGATGCAACTTGGAGCCGAGCGTAGGCAACGGCTCCCCCCATCAATCCGCTCGGTGACCACACAGTTCAACTCCGAGTCCCAACAAGTGGGAGACAGCTGCCCTGTCTCTGAGCTTCAACACACTTCACTTTAGGCGAGGGTATGTGAAGAATTGGATGCAGCATGCTCACAGTCAGAATACATAACAAAGCATGAAACATTGATTCAATCGGGGAGCGAAAAGCAACATGAAAGAGGTCAATTCAACGGCTCGGTGCCTCAGTCCAAACAAGAACTTAGTTGGTCTTATTGTGAAGACAAATCAGCCGAGGTTTGTAGCGTCGTTCCAGTTTCACATTAAGATAGAATGCTTTAATCGAATTTAAAGCTGATTCATTTCATTACTCAACAATTATCTCGACAACTGCACGTAATGCGAAATAGGTGGATCATACTTGGAGACCCACAGCGTCTTTCAGCTCATTGTTTTGGTTTTACAGCTGAGCAGCAGCACCTTACTGTTCAAACTGAGAAAAAATGACAATAGAGTTTAACAGCTGCATTTTCCAACTGGTGGAGACCAAAAAAGTGCTACAAGAGGTTGAATGTGGAGCTTTTAGTTAAAGCTAAACAAACGTTTAGCTTGTGGCTTTTTATCAAGGTACAATAATACTATAATAGTTCTTTAAAAGGCCGTATTGGCGTCATCGTTGTCCCAAAAAATTGTAAATGGTTTTATATTTTTTCTGTTTTTCCAAATCGGAAGCTACAGCCGAGTTCATAGCAGAAGCTGAGGTTACCTTGCATCGGATCTGCTTCTCAAATGATTTCAAATGGCTGACTGACTTGTCAGCATCAGTAGTTTTAAATTAAAAATTTTAACACATTTAATGCATCTAGAGTGCAGAATCACTCAAAATCCCTGAAATGGTTCTGCAACGCATTCCGGGCAGTTTATCCAAGTAGAGTTACCTTCGCACATGCGCCAATGGGGAGCTGATCTGGTATCGAGCAGCCGAACCAATCAGCTCAGTGTGGAAGATGATAAACGCACATTTGAGTATTAAAAAAATAACAAGACAGAACAGTCGACCAACATAAAGTATTTTGCACATTGTGCGAGAAGGAATTTTCTTTTCACCGAAGCACTTCCAGCTTAAAATATCACATTATTATCACATATTATATATTAGTGTATACTTACCTATTAGTATATAGGTTTTTAAAAAAGTTGTATTTCACAGGAGAGAAGCTGTGCTAAAAGATTGAAGAAAACTATTGAAATTCTCTCTGAATTTAAGCATTGAACATTCTTTGTGTTTATTCTCCATTTGCTTCATTATATTCCATGAATGTCAGTTACAAGCTTAAATATAACGTTGAAAAAATCTAATTGCAACCAGGCTATTGATCAAGTAATTGCGATTAATTACAGAAAATTGTGAGATTAATTAATTAATTTTTTTAACCTATTGACAGCACTAAAAATACCATTTATTTAGTTTTTTCACAGTACAGTTGATTATGCTGCGCTGTAGACACTCGCACAGACGTCTGAGTAGTCAGTCCTGTTATGCCTTTTAGAAGTCAGCTGTGTGGTTGGTGCAATATAAATTCTCATCTGGGTGGTGACAACAACTGGTAGGTGCACAGAGGTTGGCATCGCCCTCACACTCTGATGATATTTACCTCGGATCAGAGCGGAATCCCAGACACGGAAGTCATAAGTCATAAAGAAATGTTTCCACCTCTGTGTCGGTGTTTAGTCATCGTCACAGGGAGACCTCCGAAATGAAGACAAGCGGACCAAAAGAAACAAAAGTTCTTGCATTTAGTTCCTACTACCTGTATCTCAGATATGCAGTGTCTGTGGGAGGTTCAGTGGAAAACTGTAGAAAACCAGAAGTCGTGGCTACTAGACAATCAACGTCATTACAGCTCAGTGCTGAACTAAAGGAGTAACCAGTATAACCACATGTAAGGGTTCATTCATATCGCTGAGATGTGCTGGACAATTGAAGTCGTGTTGATGAGTGCTGTTCTCTGCTCTTCTGCCGGTCACCTGGCCAGACTTCACACAACGCAGCAGTCTTTGTACGCTGCGTCTGTGCGGTGAGCCATCACAGGTCGGCGACAGGACACTCTGGCCCTGGAGCATCACTGTGTCACTTTGAAGATAACAGCTGCAGGCAAAGCCGGACTTTAGTGTCCAAAATGTAGAGGTGCCAGCTATTTATCTCACTGCATACACACACACACGCTCGCTCTAGCCTAAGGTATCATCTCCGAGACCGTGCCGCGTGCCTTTTTTGGGGAAGAGGATAAAAATGCAGGAAACCTTCATAGATGTACAGACATTTCACTTGAAAGTAAAAGCACTATTTGTCCCCTGGTGTGATCCTACCATGATGTCTGTCTACTAAAGCCATCACTGTCCAAAACGTACAAAGTCAACAGGACAGAAAGAGAATATTTTTGGCTCTGTAGCAGGAAGAAATAGATTTGTGCTGTCCACAAAACGACCTGTCAGAAAGTTTTTCTAGGTAGAGGACAAAGTGATTTAAAGTGTATTCCTGCTGTGAGCCTGAGGGGGGGAAATAGGAGGTGCGGGGAGGAAGGATAACCAGAGGCATAGCCTTGAGAAATGGAGAGCCTTCAGTCAAATCAGCCTAGTTTTAGTCTCCCACTGCTTCTTATAACCATACAGGTTCAATGCCTGCCAGTAATGTGGGCTTTCATTTCATCCTCTCCTCGTGGAAAAAGCATTGTGAAGGCTCTGCAGCTCTGCACTACTTGTTCCAATGTGTTTGCACTCACTTCCCCATGCTGTTGATTTCATATAATACCATTTCCCCTCTGCTTTTATGACCTGTTAACATGTATGTCCTTAAACCCAAGGCTCTTCAGTCTCTCAGGATTGATCATAACTGCGTGCAGTTAAATCAAAGTGTGGCGCTCCTGTGTTTTCTTCATGTTGCCATCTTACCACTGTGCGGCTGGAGGTAAAAACAATGGTGTGTGTACATATAAATATCACTTCAAACATTTCAACCAAAAATGGTTTTG